AGACTAAAAGAGAAGTTTTGATTTAAATTTCATTACGGTGACGAGACTTTGTGAGCGTCATCACGTTGATCAAAACAATATTGCTCAGTAACAATCGTATATCAATATTTGAACCTATTGAGAATAAATATGTGTACTTTTGTGTAGATCTGCATGCTTATCTATGCAAAAATAACTATCTTCTAAATTTATACACAAAATAAACGTATTAAAATAGTAATAAAAGTAGAAAATTGAAAATTTTGATATGACTTATAGAGAGTCTTTTAGTCATAATCAAAAAGAGCGTAAAATCGCTGTGACCATTCGTCATATAAGTGTATACCTAACATGGTCCTAAGATAACCTGTAGAGGTTTATACATTCTTTTCTAAATGTTATGTAGAATAGAGTTTTATATTTTAAAGATATAGTAAATATAATAATAATAATAAATAACATATAGGTATATATATGCCATTTGGTCCAGAAGTCTGATAGACTCGTACTTTGATGAATTGACAAGTTGATCACTACGATCGGTAAAGCAGCATAATTATAAATATAGATTTTTTGAGAAAATAATAGTTTCAACTGAACGATACCAAAGCTATAGGACAAGTCCTGTTTTGGATTTATTGCCTGAAAAATGTATTGACAAATTCAATTCATCATTTCAACTAAATTGAAAGTGGACAATTTTTGTGTGGTTGCACAAGGAATCATATTTATATGGACGATTCTTAAACTTGTAATATTTGAAAACAAATATGCCTCAAATTACGTCTGATATACGTCCGACAAGTCATTGAAATTATATGTGATATACCGCTCTGAACATTTCAATGCGTAATGGCAAGTCTCAAACAATATACAGAAATAAAAATTTGATACAAATCCGCATTATAAGTATATTTTATTTACATTTATTCTCGGACCACAAAATGGAAAGCCCTGTATTGCGCATTTTACTAGTGTTTTTTAATTTTGTTGGTTGTCAAGTATAAGTGAATACCAGAATATTTTTTAACGAGGAGGCGAAAAATATTCGGCAATGGGCTGAATATGGTTAAATGTGTAGTAAATATTTTTTTCAATGTTTTTTATACGTTTTAAATACAAAACATTTGCACTTCTATTACTTTTTGAACCATTTTTCCATGCCTTCTAACTATGTTGACAAAATACCGAAATCTGGGGAGATACGTTGGCGTTAAGAACATGCCAACGGCTACAGCCAATCAAAAGAGAAAATACCATGTAATAAAAAAAGAGCAAAAAAAGAGCAATTGATGCAGAACTGAGTACGCATAGATTTAGTACAAAATATCTGGAAACAAAATAGAAGGAGCATGGTACGGTACACACAGTTTTCAAAACGGCGCTATATTGAGTCTATTTTGTATTTTTTCATATCGCTGAAGTATGAAATCGGCCAAAGCACTGCAATTGCGGTGACGCTGGTGACTACTATTTCACCCACACATTTTCCCCAAAATTCTGTGCCTTAAAGCGGTGTGAGCTCTTAGCCAAGCTAACAAGCATGCATCCAAGCGAAATGACTGAGTGAAAGCTATGCAGATGTGAATGCTATGTAAGGATAAAGTATTATTTCGTAGGTTGTTTGGATTATGTGCGACGTTCATACAAACAATGAAATAACAAAAATCAAATTCATACGTAAATGATACTTGCCAATGGCTCTTGCCATAATCGAAACTGGGTCCCTCACAGAGTAATGGAGTAATGGTTTTTATCTTATATGAATGTTTGCTACTGTTAAGTTACTTGCATCATGAAATCAAATATCTGCTCAACACCCTGTATATAGCATTTGATTTCACATACTCGTATATTAATATTTTAACTGCTCTTTTTACTCGCAATGTAGATTGTTTTTTCTGCTGATTTCCTTTAAAACTGTGTAGAGCCTGAATTTTTTGTGGTATCAATCAAAAAGTACTACTTTTGATTAAAATTTTCAATAGAAATAAAATGAAATACGAGTATACCCAAGCCATAGATATTTTTGAAATTCGGTTGATGAGGTCTAATACGTTCTTTTAATTGTGGTTTTAAATATTTTGAAAATATTTTCACTCAATCCTTCACTGTACAAATCCCACAAAGGACATGCAATTTTAATTTCTTTTAAATCTTTATTGTTTTTTCTAATTTTTCTCATATTAATATTTCTTTCATGTTGACAATAAATTCACTCGAAGAATAAATATTTTGATATTTTAATGTATGCAAAGCCTCTAGGCTTTTTTCTTATTTGTGGTGTTAAAATTAAAGATGAAATAAAAAGATCCATAAAAAGACAATCAAGTTTTTTCGTATTTATTCACACATACTTAGGCATAGAACGACACGTGAGTTTTACATCCAACCACCCAGAAATATGCCAAACTTTGACTGGAAGTATAATGTACTTGTTCTAAAACCACGTCTCTAATATGTATTGCAAGAAGATATCATAATAATATAATAAAGTTTTTCTAGAAAAAGGGCTTTGATATATATTCAATGAGTACATCTTAATTTGAATCATAGATGTATCCAAGAGTGTGTTTGGAACGGTGTACTCTAAAGGAGTGTGTCCAAAGTAATATTTCGTAATTAGAAAAGGGCCCATGAGATAATTGCTGCATTAATTAGCAATTAATCTGTAGCAATTAGTCTAAAATACTTAATCATTTAGACCCTACAGTCCATTGTGATACCACTAGCAATGAAAACTAAACTGTTGCAATAGTTAATTAGAGCACCATTTTAAAGCCCTGATACAGCATTGGTAGTTTTAATATTAGTTCATAAATATGATATAGCAATGGTGAAGAAAATGTGTAAGTAGAGGCAGTCGTATACAGTAATAAACAATTTCCCATATCCAACATTCGTAGAATTATTGCCAATGTATCTATTATTTTCTACGAGAATTATTTAAATCCCGTTATTTAACTATTAAGCACGATATATGACCTCAACGGCTTAAAAATTGGTATTCCAAATTACATTTCACTCGAGACAACTGCATTTAAAGATTAATTATATATAATTACTTTTGCAATAAGTCCATTTTTATGAACATAACCCTAACTTAAATTCACTTTAAAAATTAAACCCAACAAAATGTGCATTCTTTCCCATAACTATGTTTTTGACTAAAATACTATATAAGTCTACTTATACATTTGTAGTTCATTTTTTTTTTAAATTATAACTACATCAGGCTGGAAAGAATGTCAGTATTTGAAAGAAGAATTATGAGAAAAATATTTGGTCCAGTGCAAGTAAATAAAGAGTATCGCATAAGATATAATCATGAACTGGAGTAACTGATGGAAGGTGTCACAATAATCGAGCATATGCACAGGAAACATTGTGTGGATGTCAGAGGAAAGAGTAGCAGCCAGAATCTCCGAGAGTGAAATTAGAACAGTGGGAAGAAAAGGAAGACCGATAAAGACACGGAGTGACAGTGTTCGACAAGATCTGAGATATATATGGTATATGTCACCAACTGTAAAATAAAAACCAAAAATAGAGTAGGATAGAGGAATGTCGTAAAACAAGCTTAGGTTCTACCTGAACTGTGTACTTATGAATGATGACGATAACTATATCAGACAATAACTTTATTAAATGAAAAAAAGATAATAGAAAATACTCCGGAAATTAGGTATTAATATACTCGAAAAACCAAGAAAAAATGTACCTACTGCATCGGCTTCTATGGTATTAATAAAATACCATGGTAAAATCTTTCACCAGGCTCTCTAGGCAGACGGACAGAATATGTATGTATGTATGATTGACATAATATTGTGACGTTCAAGATAATTATAAGGCAGTTGTACTTGCCAGACAAGATACCATCAATGAAACTATTTCCAAAAGAATAAAGTCAGTAATTCCCGTGCCTTAAACAAGTTAAAAATTTAAAATATGCCGAAAACATTAGTGAATCGTAGTTGATAGAATATCTCTGCAAATAATTATGTACCATATATTATTATATGACTGAAAATGTTGGAAAAAATATTAATTATATGGCTTGTTAGGCGGGACTTTAACCTCTTTAGAGTACAATATCTCTACCAGTAAATAAATATATATTAAAGATTAAAAATTTTAGGAAAAAAGAAGAAATATCCAAATTGGTTTGATAGAGGGAATTTTGTCGTGTTGATGAGAATGATAACATACTTGATAGGCAGAGACGCTGCTGCACTGAAAATTGCCTATAATTATTTTTATAGAAACTTTCACGACGAAAATGAAGAGAATACGTTTGACCTTTTCCTCTGCAACTGTTAAACGTTAAACAGAGGGAGAAAGCGATCCTATATGATATATAGGAAATTTCCATTTTATTATTAATAAGGTTCAGTGATTGATTTCTTAGAGAACAGCGAGATATAGCTTAATTGGGATTATTTCTATAGGTATAATTATGAAGCACAAATATGATGACAGCCGCTTCATGCAGCCTTACTCAATCTACTAGAGTTTAGAGTACCATAGGAAAAGGTAGTGTCTTATGTACATAATATACTTCATCTATATCAAACATTTAATGTTTTTTTTGGCAACCTATGTTAGCACACAAGTTTTATAAAGTCGGTTTAATATGTTTTTTTCTATTATTTGAACTATTTGTTGTCATTATAATATATACCATATTTATGCGCATTACAAAAACTATGGAGAGTAGTAGTTTGAGGTTTGCGTCTAAAAACAAATCAAGTTGCGTTGATGGTAGGTGCAATAATGGAGCCGATTGTCCTTTTGTAATGAAAAGTCTCGAACGAACTGTGTGTGAAGTTGCGTTTTGTGGATGTATTTTGCATAAGAAGTAAGAAGAAACATAAGAAGTACTATATATATATAAAATTTTAAAATATATAGATTTCTCTCTTATTAGCAAATTGTTGCTTCTATTATATATTTAACGTTATATACCTACTTTAGTGTAACTAAAAAGTTATGAAAATATTATAGTGTCTCAAACTTACCATCACATGATAATGTTACATCCGCCAGCAGATCCGATTTAAATAGATTGGAAAATGTAATGGCTAAGTTTGACGAGTAACTGTTCCATTTTAAACAGAATTGTTGCTGCGGATCCATTTTTGCACTTTTAATATTTTCGCAAGTTCCAAAAAAAAAGTATAATGATGCTTAAATAATAAAAAAACTTTTCGTAATGTTCCGAAATATCTTTAAGGTTTTTGTTAAAAACTTTGTTTTTAAGCTTTTGTCAAAATTTTATGTTAAATAATAAAACAAATAAAATTTCGTATCCAGAATTTGTTCTAGAAATTTTTAAATTTAAGTCAAACGTATTGCATGTGCAGGTATACGTAGTGTATGAATATCCTTTATACAACCTTTTCTCCAATAATTGGTTGTAGTTATTGTTGTTGTTGTTGTTGTTAATGTTTCTAGTTTTTCAAAGATACACTTTGATTTTTGCCGCTGTTCCTTTTAGTTCTTTTATAAATTTACTAGTTCCCGCCGTTAGTAATTTTTGCAATTGCTCTTTTTGATATATCTCCAATGATTCAAAACAATCTGTGTCCAAATCTGTTTTCGGATCCCAATATTTTTTGCCAAAAATGAATTTTCTATAATTTTGCAGCATATATTTTATGCGTTTTTCTCTTCTGAAAATTTTGTGTTGCCAAAAGGAATTTTCCAATTTTGTTATTTTTTCGTTTTTATGCGTTTTTAGCATTTAAATGGCTTAAGTTGTTGCCTTATTGCCTATAGCCTCCGGAGCCTGAAGTATTTTTATTTTAACAAATATTTCCTGCCATGCAATTATTGCCGTTTTAAATACAGATACGTACTCGACTATAGTGCACACCACAAGTTCTAAAAAAAAAAACAAATTCAAATTAAATTTAATTCCATATTAATTAGTATTAATTAGTATTAGTAGTTTAATTAATTTAATATACAACTAGATACATACTAATGATAAATTTTAAATATTTTTAACATTAAATAGTCTTTGAAGATAATTAGAGGCGATTTTTCAGTTTTTGCTTTCATTCCCTTAAAAATTTTGAAGTAAAAAAAAAACAATTAAAAAGTTAGAACTTAACTTATACTGAAGGATTCTTGATCAACCTATTCAATCCACAAACGAGTACTTTCGACCTCCTATATGATCCACCCTTTATTTACATAATAAAAAGATTATACATACTCTGTTAATTACATTTATTAAAAAATTGGAAATCTATTTAGCTCACAACTGATTTTTTTTACCAAGAATACGTATAAAACCTATTGGTCCCTAGTTATGCCAGATAGAGTAAAACCTTTTTCTACAAAGCTGTTTCGAATATAATTCTACTTTTTTTTAATATTATAAAAAATGTAATAATAACAATATTATATTATAATAATGTATATATAATATAATATAATTTATATTATAAAATTATATACATTATTATATTATAATAATGTTGTTATTATTTTTGTGTTCTTATTACAATAAAAGACAAACTGGATTTTATCTAACTTCATAAGTATAATTTTTAAATGGGTTTTCTATGCATTTAACATGATAAATGGCAGTCGTTATACAGTTAATCTGGGAAGTTTGGTTTAGAGGAAGATTTTCACGAGACTAACCTGATCCAAATTGGATTTAATTTGCACGAGTCAGCTGTAACAGCAGTTTATTACACCAGTATCTATAATACCACATTACTGCGTACTAAACAGACATATAATAAAACTTTATACATCATCTAAGGACTTTTTCCGGGTTTATGGTTCTGTATGGTTCCGGGTTTATGTTACAGAGAAAACTGTACTTCATTATATGTATGAGTGTTCATCATTTAATAGGACAACCTTTCTGAATATAATATATATATTTCATGGTTTTAGTTGATATGTATATGTGTACATGGTTTAGTACATATATGTTATAGGTGCAATACCCTGTACTAAATCTAAGTCGTTCCTGAAATTAATCGAAGTAGTTTCGTTTCGTCTGCAACTTAATATTTTGACGAAAATATTTTATGGTATTGTAACATATGTGCAAATATTTGTTTTCATTTTTATTGGCTTCAAGAGCCACAGACTTCAAGCTACAAAGTGCATTTCCAAATGCTATTTCTAGGAAATTTGTAAATGAATGAATTTTATAAAACTGATTCAAATTTGAAGTCATCATATTTCAAAATCATTGTAGTGCATCGAGGATGGTTTATGAAATTATTGAGTACGACTGCATCTAAACTGTCGATACTGTTCATGCTATGGATGCTTTGGATGCTGTGGAAGCCCCCCTTCCACTGCTCTCTGTTATTGACGGTAATTCTATATTTGCGTTAAATTGTAAAAACAAAGTCAAGTTTGACATTTCCGAAATTTATTAAAAATTAATCGAGCATTTACTACACCCAAAAGGGAGTAGCACTAGAATGAATTTTTTTTTGATTTTCTTTCTTAGCTAAGCCGTTTTCGCAGCAGAAGTATTCGATTTTATTCCTGGAATTTTGCTGGGTACATATTTGAACAAAACGGTGCCGCCGATGGTAAAATTGCTATAGCTGTTGCTATTGCTGTTGCCGTTGCTGTTCTTGACGTTGCTGTTCTGTTAGTCACTCTTACTTTTATTGGTGCTCATCCCAGAACCGCACAAAATTGATAGTATCGAATAAGTAGAAGAACACAACAAAACTCACATACTCGTATCTACAACAGAATGCTTCAAAGGCAGTTGCATCCGCAATGCTCGTACATATTATTAAATACAACTACAAAGTTATAAATTTCTAAGTTTTCATGGTCTTTATTTTATCGTAACCTTGACAATATTTTATGTTTTTATATTACGGACCCTCAATAATATTTCATTTAGTATTAAAACGCGACGTTTCTTATTTTAGTATTCTCAGAAGTTGCAGGTGATGAGTAGGTTAGATCGCATACTTTTATTTGGACTTTGCTGGATGCTGTGATGCTGTGATGCTGTGATGCAATCTTTTATTACTTCTTATGGTGTAGTTAGGAGTTTCGTTCTTTTTTCTGAATGAGTGAAATGAAAGTGAAATAGCTAAAAGCCTTCTAATCTAAGGCAGCAGCATAAGTTGCAAAATATAAGAATTGGATGCGTTTCCACGAATTTGTTTAATCGTTAGTGAAATGTAGCACAAAAACATCAGAATTGCTGCTGTCCTCAATTCTTTTCAAAATGCATGCTTACATACAACATAAAAATTGATACACCTTAACAAAATCGTTAATAATTATAAAAGTCAAAGATAAAAATTGTATTAAGTATTCAGAAATAAAAATCCAAAAAATATAATTAATAAGATTTACTCTAGTAATCAAATCATACATTGAAGGTAAATTACATGACACATTAATTATCTTACCATTCTGAATTCATATCAATTATAAAATATACCTCTTCACTACATCCAATTCATTTAAGCGCAAGTCAGCTCTTATATAAATTATAAAATAAACAAAGTTTAAAGTGCCAGCTAAATACATACAATACTAGATGTTCAACTTAATCTCACAAAATCAGAACCAAATAGGAGCAAAGATGACAATTAATAGAACCCAAAATGACAAAAACAATATTAAAGATACAAAAACAAAATCAATTTGCCAAAAACAGCACAACAAACAGGCAAAAGTGCTAACTAACTGCACAAAAAAAAACAAAAAGACTAACGAATGATTAAGTTGAACAAGTTAGTTCTTATATAAAAACTTAAATATAAACAAATGGTAAACTTTTTGCTAAAAAGATTACCATTTTAAAACGTTTAAAACGAGATGAAAACTAAGATCATTTGATAAGAATAGTACCAAACACAAGTACCATGTACCAAAAACAGCACCACGAACAAACAAAAGTGCTACTTAACTGCACCAAAAACAAACAGTCTACCACAATCCTATTACTGTCACCTTACAATTGAGAAACGTAAGAGAAATTTTATAAACATATATAGCTGACAATTATAAATTTGTGGGATTTTAGAAACATATTGAACACAGAGCGTATTTAATTTAAATCTCTTGTGTATCTTCGTATATAAGAGCGGATTTGAAGTTCAAATACCCCTAAAATAAATAAATTTCTTTATACGACCCTACCTATACCTTTTAACAAATCATCTTAAGAAAGTTCATTTTGCACAGCAGAGTTTGCAGATAAAATGCTGATTAGGATATATAACTTAAGATTGGTTCTACACAAGCAGTACAGTCCTTCACTATAGAGCATGCAATCAAAACAGAACTTTTAATGTCAATTAGTATGGAATTTGGGAAAAAAAAAAAATAAACGTCCAAAAGCAATTCTCGATAAAAGAATAAAGAGATATTGGACTCTGTTTATGATATGCAGACCCTTCAAAAAAATAGCAGACATGTTTGAAGTTGTGAAAATTGAGAGTCTATTGCTCTATCGGCAATTGAAGCTGAGCTATTAGTGCTCTATAGCGTATCGAATAATACCAATGATAATAATATATATTACACATATTCCATATATTACATCTATTAATTGAAAACTACATATATAATATTATTAGCAAGTCTCTTTCACTGTCTATTGTATTCCGTCACTAAATCATCTGTGAATCCGTGATATTCTTAGCTTTTATTTAGTTATTTTTACTAATATTTTTTCGTTTACGCTATAATCCGCACACACATACATACACAGCAAAAGTGTGGACATCCACATGCCATAGTTTTGAACGTAGAATAAACATTTTAGGAGTAGGTACTCGCAGCTTTCTTGTGTGGATATATGGAGACGGAAGCCAAAAAAAAAGAGTGTAAAAACGCATATGCATTTGAAATTTGGTGCGCATTGTCTGTCCATTCAGAACAGAAGAAAAAATCATCTTCTTGTTTGCTCAGGTTTGCCGTTGAGTCAACGGTTTTAAAACTATCGGTAAACAGCAGTTAAAAAATTCCTTGAAAGTTTGCAGTCTCTGCTGTCGGGAAAATATTTATTTTGAATTTGAAACGAGTATTTCTTCAAGGTTATCAAATCAAGCCATCGCAATCTGAGGCATATTTTTTTAGTTTTGTTTTATTTCACTTATATTATATTATTAAATATATATTACTATTATTCTATCCTATAACTTATATAGAGCACTTGGGTCTCTCCTTCCATATCAATATGTTATAATTGCTTGAATTATACATTACTATTATTCTATTTAAAAATTAAAAATTTAGTTTTTATTTAAGTAAGTTCTTACACGAAGACACAGCTGTTTTGAATACCGACCTATATAATTTAGTTATTCCATCACAAATTATTTTAAATTGTAATTTAACGTGATTTATATTGTTAGTGACTACTTTACAAAATAGAAACTATAGTATTTGGTAGAGAGGTTTTGAAAAGTAATGTACTACAATAACAAAAGTTATTTTTTATATTATTTTAATTAATTGAATTTTTCGCTGTCCATGCAGCTGTTTCGAATCTTGTCAAATACCCATCATCAGTGGTCTTGAAATTATTTCTTATATTTAATTGTTCATAAATAGTTTTTTGAGACTGCAAGGACCTGGAATCGAACTCGTACGCTGCCAAATTTGAAGCTCAGAGTCAGCGCTCCTTAACCAAATGCTCCAAAGCCGTACTTGACTTTATGTTCTTACATTTTTCTGGAATTTTGTTAATTTACTGTGAAAGTTTACTAACAAATTCACTTGCTGTGTTTATATTTGAACAAAATCATAAACCAACTATAGAATAATTGAATTAATTAATTATATATTGTTTTTAATTATTAGATTTCAATACTACTCTTTTAGTTCCAATATATCAAGTCAGTTATATATGCTGTGCTGCTTAT